AATTTAAATTACGTATTACTCAAAATATGATTTTATCAGATAGACAATAATCCTAAGTATATCACTAATGTATATTTTTTTATCTTTGATATAATACACAAAATTGTTCAAAATATAATTTATATTAAGATTATAAAATATAATCAAATTTAATTTTTAAATTATCTCACTAAAAATATTACTAAAATAATAATCAACATTTCTGACCTAATTTTTCGAGTATTGAAAGTGCATTAATAATTGCTGTTATGTAAAACTACTAAACATTGTCTTATAACTTAAAAGTCACTGAAATGATATTGATGCGTTTTTTTAAAAATAGATGTTCATATAAATACAGAAGATAGAAATTTTAAGTCGTATGTTTGTATACAAAACTTATTTGTACCGAGTCAATAAGATAAATATCATTTCGGGAATAAACACTAGAGTTTACACTTAAAGCGAGATTAAGCTTAAAATACTAATAGGAAAATGTTACTGTATTGACAGAATGATATTAGCGTAGCCAAATGTTAATAATCCGAATAAGATAAATACGTATTTAATTTAGTAAATCCTTAGCAGATATCCAAGATAAAAGTAACCTGTTTGTTGTTGAATTATAAAAAAAATACAAAGGAAATTTTAGTAACTTAGTGTTAGTTTAGTGAAAAATATTTAAACAATGGAGTTTAAAAAAAATAATAAAAATAAAATAGGATTAGACAAAGAATAAATTGTTAATTTTGATATACATGATAACTTATGACATTAAATTATTTTAAAATGCTTACTATACTATACAATTAAATGTATTCATAAACGAAAAACTTAACCATAAAAGATACCAGTGACAATTATAGTAGCTACATAAATTTGAAGAAAAATAATTTATAAAATAGTCGACAGAGACATTGGTAAAATATCACATATCTATATAGGCAATGCTTTCTCAAATATTATAAAAAATAAAATAAAATTTAAATTTACAAATATTCAAATTGTATTTTGATGGGACTCAATAATACATTAACGATTATTCCTGAAATTCAGCATTCAACAATCATTTCCGCCCAATTTAGCATGTACATCGTGACCTAATATTCAAAATCACAATATTTTTATTGACAAAACGTGTATACACTTCTTATTTTATTGATAAGCTATTAAAAAACTGATGATCGCGAAAAAGAATAAATTTAAAACTAAAAAGTTTATGAGCTAATAACCATTAAAGTATATTAAAGTAGAAACTAGTTATTTCAACTCTTGAGTGCCATAAAGGGCTAGGAAAAATGGGTAGCTACTATTTATTTATAGAATATGTTGCAATACCGAATTATCATTTACAAGTTAAGTCATTCAGCTGATGAAGTCTAGTCATGCTTATGTTTTGTAAAATTTTAATATACGCCATGTTTTTGTTATTTAAATTAAAACACAAAGTAAAAAAAATAATTCGAATATGTAAGTATTTCTATTATTGACTAATTTGATACAATTTTCGCTTTAAACATTTATTAATTTTTAACCGATATTTTTACAATTTCATAATGTAAGCTTTNAATTTTTAACCAATATTTTTACAATTTCATAATGTAAGCTTTAAACGTTGAAATTTAATTTGTATATATGAGAAATATTATATTGTTAAAGAGCTTGTCAAAATTTATAGTCAAATACTATGTATTTATAACGTAATAAAGAAATTTGTACTATGTTTATGGTATAATATAAATGATTGTAAAGTATAATAGATAATCACAAATAGGTGTGTACTTAATAATTTTTCATAATATATCTCGGCGAGTCTTATAAATCATAAATAATATTACCTTAACTAATAAATATCAATATTAAGGAAAGGATCAGTCTTGTAATTACGGTTCAAGTAGGAAGTCTATAGTTTAATCTTACATTAACGAAATCGAACTATTTAAAATAGAAAGATATTATTTATTTTATATAAGAATTAGGTTTTACCAATTTTGTGTTTTAAATTTAAAAACAATATTCAATTATCATCATAAATTAAACGTATAGAAAATTATTTTAATTTAGGATATCAATATAAATCATTATTAAATTCTTACCATTATCAGCAGGGTGCACGGATTTCAATGCACATTGTATTTTATTAAAGTTAACATAATCGAAGTTTTTTTAGCAAAAAAATCGATTTATGTAATAAAGAATTTAAATATAAAAATTTTAATTTGCACGTCGAGGTAATTTTTTGATTTATAATACATGTTTGTAATTTTTTAGTTCATTTTAACTTTTTTTAGAGTATAGTTAGGCAAAAATTACTTCTTTATTCAAACTACGTAAATTAAATGTGTGTTTTACTAAGTGACAAACTTTTTTTATTTAATTTTAATTAGGTATACTTTTTACCCAACCCTTTACGTATTTATGCATTTCAATATAATAAATGTTCTATGAAAAGTTAACCTTTTCAACTTAACTTTTGAAAATGTTACGGAAATATTCATAGTTTTTATCTTACATTAAATTAAAATTTACGTTACATACTAGAAGTTAAAAAGATTGTCTTAACGATTTTTCTTCCTTATGTAAAAAATTATTTTGATGTAAAAAATCACCGTTTTTTAAGTTATNAAAAAATTATTTTGATGTAAAAAATCACCGTTTTTTAAGTTATGATTTTTAACTTAATTTTTTTTAAAAATTATTTGTGATTGTACTTAAGGTCAAATAGTATAGCCAATTAAAAAGGGTAGGTTACTACTTCCATTCAATTATCCACCATTTATAAAAAAAAAGAAAATTAAAAACTAAAAAAGGTTTTTTTTCTTTTTGATAAGTCTATACTTACAATTTTAACACGTTTGTTGTAATGGTAACAAAATATTCTATTACTTATAATTTTTACAATTTTTCCGTAAAAATTAAAATAAAAAATATTGAGTGTCAATTTCATACTAATTTTCAAGTATGTTATAAGTAACCTATTATTTATGAGTTAGTTATATGTATGTTATCTTTTAAAAAAATAAAATTTATATCCATAAAAAGTACAAAGTAAGAATTAAACAAATAATTAATAACTAATTAATCGATAAATATATGACATCACAATACCAAAAATAATTTACTAAACATATTTATTATTTTAAAAGAAACTATGTAGCAAGTGTTAAAATAAAACCCTGTATAATTGAACTATTTTTAGTGAGGTCGATTAAATAAATCCAATGAAAAAATTAATCAAAAAATATTTATAAAACTATAATTTATTCGTTTTAACAACAATTTTTTAACCATTAAAATACCTTGACCTGTTAAAAGTTTATGATATTGCTAATGCGTTTTTTTAGAGCTGTCTACACAAATAGAAAAAAAGTTAAAGAAGTTTGCGGAAACAATTTGGACAAAAAGCCAGGAAAATAAAAGTTCAAATATTATTTTTTGGTTCTCTTATACTAAAGAAATGATTTTGTACTAAGAAAGGTAACTTGGTGAAAACAAGAAAAAGTATTAACAAAAGGTCATCAGAAATTTTACTTTTTCTATAGTGCTATAAAATATCATTTTTAATTATTTTCAAAACTAATTTTTATATTAAAATTACTTGGAAATTCAATTTACGGAAAATAAGTATTATTAAATAAATAGATAATCGACTAAATGTTGTGAATAACATTTTTAATTCTAGACTAATAAATTTTATTTAGATTTGACGCGTAATATTTATTAAACTCTACCTATTTGATTTAGAGTGTCAAAATACTATTGCATCTTTTTGAAAATATATTTTAACTTAACTAAAATGGGACTTTCCTAAAACAAAACTGATCGGAATAGAAAATATTTGTTAACCGGTCACATTTCATACGTTTTACAAATTACTAACAAAATTTTAATATTATGTTTACCTTTAAAAAGGTTTCACTGCTTTTTGACAAAAAAAAAATGAAATCTGGCACGATAATTCTGGTTATGTTTACAAATACACTGTTGAATGATCAATTAAATAGGAACTATTAATGAATTATTAATAAATGTATGGAAACTTTTTAAATAAACATAGACTGTAGCATGTAATAAATATAAGTGTTTCAACTATGATTATTTAATGGAATACCAAATTTGATAATTTTATTATATAAACATAAATAGAAACTTCCTTTTGTTAACCGNAATACCAAATTTGATAATTTTATTATATAAACATAAATAGAAACTTCCTTTTGTTAACCGTATATCAAAGTTAAGGTAGTAAGGTATACTCACGCATAAACCCACATTCCCCTATTCTGTTTAAATTTATGACATTTAACTAGTTATTAGTCTATACTAAACTTCTATACAGCTTCATGGATCCATAAATGTTCTATGATCTTTGATATTGTTGTATTTTATAACAAATAATATTTCACATCAACATTTACCATGTACACAGATTAAAATATTTTACAGATAATTCTATTATATTACAATTAGAACAATATTAATGTAAAAAAGACTACAATTAAATAGAATTTATTTGTTTCAGTTACTACTACTCAATAAATACCTTATATATTAAAATAATATTAAACAGAGCATATTTCATAATTTTTAGAATTTTGGATGAGCTATGTTTCTCCAAGTCCCTACTTATTTGTATTTATAAGAATGGTCCAAGTCCATATTTGGCATATTTCACTAGTCGGTATTTTCTAATTTAAGCTTTGCCGTATATCATTTTATTTAATCATATTTAATTTTATAATATATATTTACCAAAACATTGTTAAATTAAGTAGATTTAATAAAGCCTTTTGAGGTAAAAAATGTTTTTTTTTACTTCTCCTAAAAGTAATAAAAAAAGGCTTGAAATGTTCAATTTCTTAGATATAAAGTTTTGCTCTAATTTTGTTGAAGATTCAATAGTTATTTCTTTCTTGACTAATGTATCTTTGCGTCTATGTATATTTTTATAGTAATAATTATTATGATTTATACTATGTACAATTATGCTAAACACATTACTAAATATTTAATTGACTTACTATTACTATCATGAACCGTTGCATTTAATCGACTTTCACATTCAAATCTTAATTCCCTTATTAACTCGGCAGAAATGCCCATAGGACCTGGTGTAGTAGTACTCATTGTTTCTACCAGTCGATGCTACTTTTGAGTAAAATGTATTCCTGATACTCCTAAAACATAAAAAATAAATACTCATTAATTATTAAATAACTAAAAATGATAATAAAATAAAAATGATAAATTTTGCATGGGAGATAAGTAGTGTGCACATTATTTATAACATGGTACCGTTTGTGTTTATTAAAAAGGACTTAAAAAATACTTATTTACCTACGCGACTTATAATAATAGAGACTAAAGTACAATAGTACTTAGTGGTACAATAGTACTTAGTGGTACAATAGTACTAGTAGAGGTGTTTGCTCCTATTTTATAGCCAATAAAATAACTCAATTATTTTAATAAAAGGTACTAAGAATTTATTAACACATATTAATTATATTTAATTATTTGAAATGGATTGAAAAACGAGATGTAAGATTTGTTGTACCTAGTATCCTTGATGTTAGTTTAAAAATATTATTAAAATTATATGATTTGGTAAAAAATATAATTACATTTTCTATTATGTTTAAAAAATGTCACTTTTTTACTTTGGCATAGTAATTGTTAAAAATTCTCATATATTGATGATAATTATTAAAACATACATAATTTTAATAATAGATTTGTTTTATTTTCAAATTATATTACAAAACTAATAGTTTTGCAGTGAGCTATGAAGTAATGAATAATTATTACGGCAAGTTAATTAATAATAAAATTAATTCGTTTTTGCTTGCATAATCACAATCCCAAACATGAGATTTGATTCCATTTATTAATTCTAGAGTTAGGTCGGACAATTTTCCATTCAAAAATCGATTTTTTGTTAAATCATCATTTTCTATTTCTAGTTATAAATTATTCTACCTAAAAATAAAGTCGCCAATATTTTTCGTTCTTTTTTTTATCGTCAGCGCGTAATGATATAAAACCAGATATGAACTGTCAAAGTTGAAATAATATGTCTGTAAATGTAATTTACACTGATGACAATGTACAACGTGTTGCAAGGGATTAGTTGTTATGTTTTAGTGTAGATATTATAATAATCTATTTTGAAATACAGAAGAACAAGAAAAATTTCTGTGCGATATTTTATAATTATGTGTACATTACAGAGTATAATTATATTTTTAGAATTATGACGTTGTTAAGATTTCTAGAAATTACTTAGGTTTTTTATTGTTACTACTACGTTTAACTATGCATTTGAGTTTATAAAAAAATTCACATGCTGACAGCGACTTTTACCCTGTTTATTCTGTATACTTAAAATATTTACCTATCAAACCCGGACTTTGCTTAGCATAATACTACCAAGAATTAAACCTGAGTTTCATGAAATTCTACATCAAAATACATTTTTCTAAACTTAATATATAGGATAAATAAAATTTTTACAATAATAATTTCTTTGATAAATTATGATAGTTTTCAGTGTTTTACGTTAGTGGATATTTAGCGATGACTATACTTGCTTCAAAATTTATATTGTCATTTTCTTTTATTAAAATTGTTTTTAAATTCATAGCGCTTTCTCTGTGTACATGGTTATATATTTAATAGCTAAATAGAATTCTCTCTGAGCTTTTTAATTACATATAATTTAAAAATTAAATAAATATAATTCAATAATTATCATAGTAAGGACTCAATTTTATTTATTGATCAATTATTTTTGGTGTAAATGTTGTTATAAATTATGAAAAGCCACTATCTAATTTATGTCCCTATTTTTTATCGCCATATTGTTTAAATTATTTATAAAATTATATTCTTATTTAATGATTATTACGAGTAACAGTTATTTAATTTATAAATAGTCATTGCATTAAAAAACCATTGTTGTAGATTTAATGAGATATTTTGTATCTACTAAACAATATTTTCGATTTTTTTAATTTCTGTATTTTTGTTCTCTACAGGCAAATTTTTCAAATTTCAAATTTGATTATTCCTTAATAAGTTAAAACATTATTAAAAAATTAGTCTATAATGTATATCCATTTCAATATGAGGGAATTTTAAAGTTTTCATTTTTGTTACTGACTTGCTCACTAACACATCATCAAAATTATAAGACACTTCCTGTATAGACACAAACATGAAATTCAGCATAAAGGTATGTCAATGGTGTAAGTAAATGTAAAAATGTGAAAAAATTTTTTTTAAATAATTGGTCTTACAGAGAGAGGCATCATTTGAGGGCAGTTCTGATTTTTATTGGCTCATAAAAATTATGCATATAACTGGCTTAAACAATCAAAATAGACTGGTGTTCTCAAAAAAAAAAAAAAAAACTAACTGTAAAATTTCCAACCTCTTCCTAAAAAAGTAGTGATATTTGCATTGTCGATAACTTTAACACTATTTCCATAGCAATATTGCTCCTTCATATTGTTTAACAATTGGCCAGTTACTGATCAAGTAAGTATTGACTCAGTGCTTATTTTAGAATTAGGACACTAAGGATAAAACTCAGTAGAAAAGAAAAGGATTGAGATTTCATTATGAAATTCATATAAAATTGCTACAAAATCAGCCTCATTAAAAAAACTGACTAAATATTAAACATACAAATAAATAAAGGAGCAATGTTGTCCTTGAAAGTAGAATTAAAGTTTAAGAACTAAAGAACGAGAAAACTTAAATTTGCTCTTTCTGTAGTTCTCAAATTGTATTGTGTAATCAACATTTTGACCAATTAGCAAAAATGTAGATATCACTTTTTTGATGGGTGGTCTTTTTTTTAAAAAGGAGGTTGAATCATTTTTATAGTTGGATTTTTGTTGACGATATAATTTTCAATTAAACTTTTTAGTTAATAAAATGGACTTTTCGTTGGGACTCAAATAATAAAAATCTAAGTAGTTATTTGTTGTGCGTCCAAATAGTGCTCAACTTTCCGAATGATTATTCATTTATTATTTATTATTTATTATTTATTCACTTGTGACACCTATTAGATAAATTAGAATGTAGTGAATTCAAGTCTCTTATGAATTTATTCATGCTGATATATTTTTTAATTATTATTGAATAACATAACTTCATTCTAATTTTATGAACTAAATTACATTTAAAGCTAGTAGACTTAAAACAAAGAAGATAAGAAAAGAAATATAATACGTTTATGTCTCCTTAATTTATATTAATAGTTCATCTAATTGATTTACTGCCAATATTTATGATGAAATCATAAATACACAATGTATCTTGTAAATAACTCTTTAAAAATAGTATTTAATGTTTTTTCAATTATAGTTTATTCTTTGAAAGTATATAATATTAT